CAGTATAAGGACAAAAAAACACGCAACATATTTGGTAAATTGTAAAGGTTAAACCTGCTCTGGACGATCTCAAAGAAACAGCCGCAGGAGATGTTGAGCAGAGAGGCCAGGTGAGGTGTGCAGGTGCTGACGGCTTTCTGCCTCGTCTGCTTGGATCCACAGAAACACACGTGGAGGATCCGGATGTACGTGTAAATGATTAGAACGATAAGACCAAAGATCACCGTAAACATGTGACTAAGTCCAAACACATTATTGAGCGTGGTGTCAGAGCACGCCAGTTTGACCACATAATAGTTGTCACAATAAACTTTGTTGATGATGTTCCCACACAGCTGCAGAGGAAAGGTCAGACCAAACACGATGACAGCGTTGATAAAGAATGGGTACAGCCAGATCAGAGCAGTGAGCATAGAAATCTTATTGGGGGTCATATGTGTGTTATAATGTAGAGGATAACAAATAGCAAGATACCTGTCATAAGACATGATGGCTAAAGTAAAAAACTCGACTGCCCCATAAGAGTACAAGCAGAAGATCTGCAGGAAACAGAGACGAGCAGACACAGTGTGAACGTCTGAGAGAATCTGAACCAGGAGGAGAGGAAACAAACATGTGCTACCAAACAGCTCGTTCACAAACAGGCTGCACAGGAAGATGTACATGGGTTCATGAAGACTTCTGTTCATACATATCAGCACGATGAGGAACAGGTTAGCACAGATTATTAAAACATACAAAGTCAGAGTTATCAGGAAAAAGAGATATTTAAGAAGCCCTGTTTCCATGTAGGCTCCCAGAGTGAAATATGAGCCATGTGTGGAGTTGATCATGATTCAAATCATGTAGAGGATGAACATGGAGAAGTCATACGGTGTTCCTACTGCACAACAAAAGCCATGTTTGTATTTCAAAACATAGTATCAAGTGAACCTTTGAGTCGCCGAAACAACACATGAACCTTTCCTTATTCAGATGACTGTGTGACAGGGACTGAAAACCGATCTGCTCACATGCTGCAGTCTCCGAGTCTCTCCCTCCAACTGAGCAGCGTCTTTTAAAATGTAACCACGTCTTCTCCTCCGCTTGTCGTCCCTCCTACAGGGATGCACGGCGCTCCGCAGAGGAGACGAGGACATGACGTCTTTGACTCCAGATTTCCACCTTTAGTTTCTGATGATGAGCTGCCATCCAGCTTCAACAGCACTCACGCACGAATCTGACAACAACTTTAATTTTCTTTATTGAACTGAGAAAAGGGAAAAACATGTCCCTGTTTATTTACAAACGACGTCAAGAAAAAGCGCTGAAGTGTGAATCACACACCTGCCCAGGTGTCTCACTCTGATGGTGAGTTATGTGTCTGATATCAATAACAGACATCTTCTGTACGTCTCACCTCACTGGCTTGGCAAAAGTCTGCTGACAGAATAAACAGACAAAAAGCCTCCAACATGAGACAAACACAGGTCGAAGAGTGACGCTGATCATTTATGCTTTCCTAAGTTCAATGTGACCAGCACACGTGAAAATCTCGTAACAATCAGACGTCAGTTGTGTTTGCCAATCGCTCTGCATTCGATCTCATTGAACTTTTCTTTTTTTTGGGCCTTTATGCTTTTATTAGATACGACGGCCGTTTCCTGTCTTCCTGAGAGACAGGAAACGTTAGGAGGTGAAAGAGTGAAGGGTGAAGTGCAAAGGGCCAAGTTTGAAGATTTGAACCCACAGCTGCTGAGACGCCGACTGCAGACTCTGTACATGAGGTGCATGACAAAAACGCACTTCCCCGACATGTTGGCAGGGGGGCCAACATTACCTCTGAGTGAAGCGTCGTCCTGTCTTTAGTAAAAGGAGAAAGACTTGTACGATATAAAGAGAAACCTGAGTATGTCAGCCCAATCGTCAAGGGCAGGATAACACACGTTGCCCCGGCCACTACACTCACGGTAAGCCTGACTTGGCTTGTCACATACAAGGCCATGTGCATCCCCATACCCCCTTTGCACAGGTTTTATCCAAAGGAAGTTCAGAGAAATATAGGCCTGACTGTAAAATGCAGGCTAAAAAAGATCCCCTGTTTTGGCTCCCATCGTCAACAGGTCCACTGAATACTTTGTCCCAATATACGGGAGAGGGCCTTTTCTTAAAATTCTTGATTAATGCAACAAACTAGTTCATTGAGAAAGTTGCCCTGGTTGCATCATTATGTTCAACAACATACTACACAAACTAAGTCACAGCTTGATGTCGCCTTTGAATAAACAACAAGCAAGAAAAGTAAATCTTGAAAAGAAAAGAGAATTTTTCCTCAAGAAAAATCTCTTTTAGGATTAAAAATTCAGATTACTGTGCATGAACAGTGCAATAAAGGTGGTTTTATTGAAGGCCTCACACGGGGCACCAAATGTTGGGGTTTTATCTAGTTTATGTGGTATAATTAATAATTATTTTTAATTAATTATTAATATAAATAACAATATTATTAAACTACATTTAATTACCTTGGGTGCACCACTCTGAGATCAGAGAACAAATAACCAAATATCACTAAAATCAGTCTCAAATTAGTGAATTAATTACTAATATTATTAATAATTAATAACCTGTATTTGATATATTGAAGGCGTGAAATCCGTGCACAAAGCCCTCACACCCAGCTTATATCACAATGCAAGTACACCAGTAATCACAAACAACTGCTCTCTTAAATTATATTATTATATTATTCTTATCGTTGTTCAGTGGACATCGGGTACGTCGCAGGCAACACGTCCAACTTATTAAAGTACTTGAAAAGGTTGATTGAGGTTCTTATATCGACAGAGGGAAATATTAATAGTTCTGCGATGAAACTATACTGTCCCAGATGTGATTAGGTTCATAATGTGCTCAAAGGGCATTCAACAAACTGTTGGCTTAATGAACTAAAACGTGTCACTGTAATTAATCCTAAATCATCCTTGCATCCTAAGTCTGAAAAGGAGCTTCCAGTGACGCAAAATGACGATTTTTGCGTCACTGGAAGCTGTTGTGGTTAGCATCAGAAACAACAACACTAGTTCCTCATATTTTCGACCACTGAAGCTACAGACCAATCACAGATCAGTGGGTGGGAACTCTCTCCCAGAATCAAAACTTATCCATCTGCCATATTGCTTGGAAGCTATGCTTACAGGCTGTATGGAGAAAGCTGATAATGACGAAAAAATATAAATATAGTGGCGAGACGGCTGCTGTCGCCAGGCCGGTCTTGTGCAATCGCAGCAGAATACGCAGTTACCTGGCTTTTTCCATTAGCTGTTGATGAAAGCACAGACAACATGGATACAAGGCGACTATCCATTTTTATAAGAGGCGTGAAGGCAGACTTTACTGTCAGTGAGGAGCTCTTGGATGTAGCTGCCATGCATGGAACGACAACGGGGAAGGACATTTTTGATGAGGTGGAGAAGTCCGTATGTAAAACGAAATTACCTTGGGAAAAGTTTGTGGGGCTAACTACTGATGGCACACCTGCCATGTGTGCAGAAAAAACAGGCTTGGTTCGAGGAGTGAAGGAGAAAATGCAAGAAAGTAACTGCCCCACACCTCTGACAACTTATCATTGCATTATCCACCAAGAAGCTCTGTGTGGAAAGGTTCTGGATTATATAAGGACCACTGTCATGAAGACAGTAAACTTCATTCGGGCGCGTGGCCTGAATCACAGCAGGTTCCAGCTGTTTTTGAAGGAGGTGGGTTTTGAGCATGGAGATGTGCAGTACCATACAGAAGTAAGGTGGTTGAGTAGGAACGCGGTCCTTAAACTATTTTTTTAGCTTAAGGAAGGAATTGCTCTTTTCATGCTAAAGGAAAACCATTGGGTGAACTGTCAGAGCCAAACTGGCTGTGTGATTTTTTGAGTCAAGACCAAGACCAACGCAGGGCAATCGAGTCAAAAAAAAGACCATAAATATCGCTAAATATCTTGTGTTTAGGGGGCGTGTCACTCACTTAGACCGTTACACTAGGAAGGTTGCGGCCGTAATCGGGGGATAAAAAACAAACTCCAAATGAACTGATGTTATTTGTTCTTTTAGAAAAGGGTCTTTAGTGGTGGTCTTGACTGGTCTTGATTTAGAATCCAATCTACACAGTTTGAGACTGAGACAACACAGAGTTTAAATGCTTTCAATTCTGAGACGAGACCAAACCTGAGACCAAGACCGATTTTGAGTTCTACAACACAATCAAGATCCAGGCAACATAGCAGCCACAATCTACGCATCTGTCAGACCACCGACAAATAAACAAGCTTTTCTGATTCAACGGGCCTCATTCACTAATGTTTTCTCACGAGGGATCTGTTCTTAGGTAAGAGCAAAAGTTACACTTAAGAGCACTCTTATGTATTAGCATCAAGCTAATGCACTAAAATATAGAGGTTAGGGTTAGGCAATGCACCAGCCGCCACTGCAGAAGACAGTAAATAATTAAAAATAAAAGCCTGACAAAAACTATTTTGAAAAGCAAAATAATGGAAATTCAAGCATGCGATTGAAAATGTGATTTTTGGTGATGAAACATTGAGCTTGAACAATCAATGGCGATAATAATCATGTGACACGTAGTTCTATATCAAACTGTGAGACGGACAGAAACAGGAAGTCTTTATGACTCTGTGTTTAACTTGGTAATGATGTCATCATAAACAATCCAGGTCACAGTCATACAGCACAGACAAAGCAGTGAGTATAAATCCAGCTTAACCTCCTCGGGGTCATTAGACGGTGAGCTGCTCAGTCTGCAGCTGAGGGCGTCCTCTCACCTGTACAGGTCAAAAGAAGCAGCGTTGCAGCTCAGGTGTGAGGGACTTTCTACAGCAGGTGAATGTCTCATCTGAGGGTCCCACAGTATGAAATGGCTTTCTAACTTGTGTGTTGTTGTGACTTTCTGATTGAATAATGTTTGTTTAATGGTGAAGTTACTCCGACCATCACAGCTGGAAAGATCTCATCATGATAAACTCCACGCAGGTTTTATATTTCACACTAAGTGCCTACTTGGACACAAAGGGCTTCAAGTCTTTATATTTCATCATTATAATGTGTCTGTATGCCTTCATCTTGTTGTCCAACCTGCTGCTCATCGTGGTGATCTGTGTGAACAGAAGTCTTCATGAACCCATGTACATCTTCCTGTGCAGCCTGTTTGTGAATGAGCTGTTTGGTAGCACAGGTTTGTTTCCTCTCCTCCTGGTTCAAATTCTCTCAGACGTTCACACTGTGTATGCTCCTCTCTGTTTTCTGCAGATCTTCTGTGTGTACTCCTATGTGTGTATAGAATATTTAAACTTAGCCGTCATGGCTTATGACAGATACCTTGCTATCTGTTATCCTCTACAATATAACACATGTATGACTGCTAAAAAGGTGGCCATTCTGATTGCTGTTGCATGGTTTTTCCCCTTTCTTGCTGTTGTTGTGTTGATTTCCTTGAGTGCTCCGCTGCAGCTGTGCGGGAACATCATTAACAAATTGTACTGTGGAAACTACGCCATCGTCAAACAGGCGTGCTTCGACACCAGAGTAAATAACATCTACGGACTCATTCACACAGTCATCTCCATCATTATCCCTCTCTGTCTGATTCTCTACACGTACATGAAAATACTCAAAGTTTGTTATCGTGGATCCAAAAAGACGAGGCAGAAAGCTGTCAGCACCTGCACGCCTCACCTCGCCTCTCTGCTCAACTTCTCCTTCGGCTGTTGTTTTCAGATCATACAGAGCAGGTTCACTTTAAGTGTCCCCCATGTGTTGGATATATTATTATCTATGTATTTTCTGACATGCCAGCCTCTCTTTAACCCATTACTGTACGGGCTGAAACTGCCGAAAATACATAATATATGTAAACGTCTGATGTGTGGTGATGTGTAAGTGACTCAACAGATCAGTTTGAAGTCATGACAACACAATAAAAGCGCTTCTCTATCATTTCCAGATCCATCGTGACATGAAGTCTTTATTTGACCGCTTGTAGGAAATTAAACACTGAAATCACCAGACACAATGAAACAGCAGTGCTACAGATACAGGACTTCATCATCATCATCATAATCATAAAGTCATAGAGTGACAGTTATGAAGTTATGCACCGTCACCATCTTCAGTTCAGGTCATGATGATGATCAGAACAGATGTCTCAATGAGTCAGGCAGCAGAATCCACTTTAAGAATCCGTATGAAATGATTGATTAATTAATAATACCTGTACATTAAAACATACACCTGTGTCCTTATCAGACAGAATCCATTAACCCTCATAGTCCAGATAAAGATGATGAAGCCTTTAGATGGATGAGGAAATAAGAAAGGATTCTTGGTATGCACATGTTTCTCTGCTTAAAAAGAGATTCCTTGATTCATGTCACATCTGTTTATGGTCTCAAACTTTGATGCTGCTGTCTCAACCAGGACTCTCTTGAAACACAGGTCTTGTTTCTCAACGAAAATATTTTCCCAGTCAAATAAAGTTTAAATAACATGAATTAGTGAATGAATAACTGTCTTTAATGGCATCAGCCTGGCATCCAGCACTACTGTAAGGAATCTAGGTGTTTTATTTGATTAATATAAGTCCTTTAAATCTCACATGAAACATATTTTAAGGACATCCTATTTTCACCTTCGTAAATCAGGAATATCCTGTTGGAAAATGATGCAGAAAAACAAGTTCACACATTTGTTACCTCCAGGTTGGATTACTTAAATTCTCTTTTGTCAGGGTGCTCTGGTAAGTCTCTAAAGACTCTTCAACTATTCTAGAACGCTGCAGCTCGTGTACTGACTAGAACTAGGAAAAGGGACCACATTACTCCTGTGTTGGCTTCTCTGCACTGCCTCCTTATACAGTCTAGAATAGAATTCAAGATCCTTCTTCTCCCGTAAAAAACTCTAAATGGTTAGGCACCATCTTATCTCAAAGAGCCGTGGTACCTACTGAGTCTACATGTACTATGGGAGTTAGAGCCTTCAGTTATCAGGCCTGCTCGTGGTTCCTACAGTCTCTAAATGTACTATGGGAGGTAGAGTCTTCAGTTATCTGGCCTGCTCATGGTACCTACAGTCTCTAAATGTACTACGGGAGGTAGAGTCTTCAGTTATCTGGCCTGCTCATGGTACCTACAGTCTCTAAATGTACTATGGGAGTTAGAGCCTTCAGTTATTAGGCCTGCTCGTGGTTCCTACAGTCTCTAAATGTACTATGGGAGGTAGAGTCTTCAGTTATCTGGCCTGCTCATGGTACCTACAGTCTCTAAATGTACTATGGGAGGTAGAGCCTTCAGTTATCAGGCCTGCTTGTGGTTCCTATAGTCTCTAAATGTACTATGAGGTAGAGCCTTCAGTTATCAGGCCTGCTCGTGGTACCTACAGTCTCTAAATGTACTATGGGAGGTAGAGTCTTCAGTTATCAGGCCTGCTTGTGGTACCTATAGTCTCTAAATGTACTATGGGAGGTAGAGTCTTCAGTTATATGGCCTGCTCATGGTACCTACAGTCTCTAAATGTACTATGGGAGGTAGAGCCTTCAGTTATCAGGCCTGCTCATGGTACCTACAGTCTCTAAATGTACTATGGGAGGTAGAGTCTTCAGTTATCTGGCCTGCTCATGGTACCTACAGTCTCTAAATGTACTATGGGAGTTAGAGCCTTCAGTTATCAGGCCTGCTCGTGGTTCCTACAGTCTCTAAATGTACTATGGGAGGTAGAGTCTTCAGTTATCTGGCCTGCTCATGGTACCTACAGTCTCTAAATGTACTATGGGAGTTAGAGCCTTCAGTTATTAGGCCTGCTCGTGGTTCCTACAGTCTCTAAATGTACTATGGGAGGTAGAGTCTTCAGTTATCTGGCCTGCTCATGGTACCTACAGTCTCTAAATGTACTATGGGAGGTAGAGTCTTCAGTTATCTGGCCTGCTCATGGTACCTACAGTCTCTAAATGTACTATGGGAGTTAGAGCCTTCAGTTATCAGGCCTGCTCGTGGTTCCTACAGTCTCTAAATGTACTATGGGAGGTAGAGTCTTCAGTTATCTGGCCTGCTCATGGTACCTACAGTCTCTAAATGTACTATGGGAGGTAGAGCCTTCAGTTATCAGGCCTGCTTGTGGTACCTATAGTCTCTAAATGTACTATGAGGTAGAGCCTTCAGTTATCAGGCCTGCTCGTGGTACCTACAGTCTCTAAATGTACTATGGGAGGTAGAGTCTTCAGTTATCAGGCCTGCTTGTGGTACCTATAGTCTCTAAATGTACTATGGGAGGTAGAGTCTTCAGTTATATGGCCTGCTCATGGTACCTACAGTCTCTAAATGTACTATGGGAGGTAGAGCCTTCAGTTATCAGGCCTGCTTGTGGTACCTATAGTCTATAAATGTACTATGGGAGGTAATGCCTTCAGTTATCAGGCCTGCTCGTGGTACCTACGGTCTCTAAATGTACTATGGGAGGTAGAGCCTTCAGTTATCAGACCTGCTCGTGGTACCTACGGTCTCTAAATGTACTATGGGAGGTAATGCCTTCAGTTATCAGGCCTGCTCGTGGTACCTATGGTCTCTAAATGTACTATGAGAGGTAGAGCCTTCAGTTATCAGGCCTGCTCGTGATACCTACGGTCTCTAAATGTACTATGGGAGGTAGAGTCTTCAGTTATCTGGCCTGCTCATGGTACCTACAGTCTCTAAATGTACTATGGGAGTTAGAGCCTTCAGTTATTAGGCCTGCTCGTGGTTCCTACAGTCTCTAAATGTACTATGGGAGGTAGAGTCTTCAGTTATCTGGCCTGCTCATGGTACCTACAGTCTCTAAATGTACTATGGGAGGTAGAGCCTTCAGTTATCAGGCCTGCTTATGGTACCTATAGTCTCTAAATGTACTATGAGGTAGAGCCTTCAGTTATCAGGCCTGCTCGTGGTACCTACAGTCTCTAAATGTACTATGGGAGGTAGAGTCTTCAGTTATCAGGCCTGCTTGTGGTACCTATAGTCTCTAAATGTACTATGAGGTAGAGCCTTCAGTTATCAGGCCTGCTTGTGGTACCTATAGTCTCTAAATGTACTATGAGGTAGAGCCTTCAGTTATCAGGCCTGCTCGTGGTACCTACAGTCTCTAAATGTACTATGGGAGGTAGAGCCTTCAGTTATATGGCCTGCTCATGGTACCTACAGTCTCTAAATGTACTATGGGAGGTAGAGTCTTCAGTTATATGGCCTGCTCATGGTACCTATAGTCTATAAATGTACTATGGGAGGTAATGCCTTCAGTTATCAGGCCTGCTCGTGGTACCTACAGTCTCTAAATGTACTATGGGAGGTAGAGCCTTCAGTTATCAGGCCTGCTTGTGGTACCTATAGTCTCTAAATGTACTATGAGGTAGAGCCTTCAGTTATCAGGCCTGCTCATGGTACCTACAGTCTCTAAATGTACTATGGGAGGTAGAGTCTTCAGTTATATGGCCTGCTCATGGTACCTATAGTCTATAAATGTACTATGGGAGGTAGAGCCTTCAGTTATCAGGCCTGCTCATGGTACCTACAGTCTCTAAATGTACTATGGGAGGTAGAGTCTTCAGTTATATGGCCTGCTCATGGTACCTATAGTCTATAAATGTACTATGGGAGGTAATGCCTTCAGTTATCAGGCCTGCTCGTGGTACCTACGGTCTCTAAATGTACTATGGGAGGTAGAGCCTTCAGTTATCAGACCTGCTCGTGGTACCTACGGTCTCTAAATGTACTATGGGAGGTAATGCCTTCAGTTATCAGGCCTGCTCGTGGTACCTACGGTCTCTAAATGTACTATGGGAGGTAGAGCCTTCAGTTATCAGGCCTGCTCGTGATACCTACGGTCTCTAAATGTACTATGGGAGGTAGAGCCTTCAGTTATCAGGCCTGCTCGTGGTACCTACGGTCTCTAAATGTACTGTGGGAGGGAGAACCTTCAGTTATAAGGCTCCTCTCCTCTGGAATCACCTTCCAGCCGGGGTCTGGGAGGCTGACAGACTCAGTATTTTTAAGAATAGACATAAAACATTCCTTTTTGATAAAGCTTATAGTTAGGGATGGCGCAGGTATGGAGCAGCTCCTAGTTATGCTGCTGTAGGCTTAGACTACCGGGGGAACTGGCACCTTGAGCTCTTATCTATCCCCCCCCCACCTTGCTTTTTAAATTTATGTTTTTTTTGCCACTGTAACTTTGCTAAATGTTGCTTAGTGCTCATGATGGATTAACGTCTGGTCTTTGTAACATAACAATGAGTCAGATCTTTGTATGTAGGTCTAAAAGGCCCTTTGGGATGAATCACGCTGTTTGAGTTTGAGTGGCGTCAGATGATTTTAATCAGACTTTTGATGTTTATTATAGGTTTAAAATGCAAAACTGTTTAAATGGTTTGTTGAAACAAAAATGTGGTATTTGAGGAATCATTGTGGGGACACTTCCTCTCTAACTGGCTCTTGCTTTACCACATTATCAGGACTGTTGATTACCAAACAATAATCCTTATTCATTTATACAGTTTATTTATAACACCTGGATGACTCAGGACAAATCTGCATACTGTTAAGTGCAGAAAAAAAGCTTCCCACAAAGCTGACATCAGTGACATCATCCATGTGCAAAAAGCATGGTCAATACTCTTAACAACACGTTAAACACACACACAGTTATGTAGGAGCCCTTTTAGTGTGTGTGCATTTATGTATTGTATTTCAATGGGTTTAGTTAATTTGTTTATTTATTTACTTAATTTGGACAATAGGTGGTGATAATTTAAAAGTTATCCGGCGCCGCTCTGGGTGGCCGCTTGTTACGGCAGCTCCGACCCCCCTCGTTATTGTTTTTTAGTTTATTTTGTTAATCCTGTGTAGTTACTGTGTAAT